CCCATGCCATCCACTCACTGGGTTGGCACGGTATGGGACTCTCTTGGCTGTACTCTGGTATGGGGACAAAGTCCCTGCCCTGCACCACCTGAAAGGGGGTAAACCCGGTGCTGCTATGCACCGCATTGTTGTAAGCGACCTCTGCGAACACCACCAGATCCACCCAGTCTGTCTGTTGGGACACATAGCTCCGTAGATACCACTCCACCGCTGCATTCGCCCGTTCTGCAGCCCCGTTGGTACTAGGATGGTATGCCGAACTGAGCCCTTAGGACAATCCAATGAAATGAATGAACTCGCACCAAAAGTGAGCCGTGAACTGAACCCCCCGATCCGAGATGATCCGCCGGGGTGCCCCATGTAGGCGATAGAAGTGCGTCAGGAACAGCTGGGTTAGCCTTCGAGCCGACGGCATACCTTTACAGGGGATGAAGTGGGCCTGCTTGGAAAACAGGTCCATCACAGTCCACAGCACCGTGTAGCCCCAACTTTCTGGCTGATCAACAATAAAATCCATCGCGATGTCCTCCCACGGTCTGGTTGGATCGGCAACCGGCTGTAGTAGTCCCAGAGGTTTCCCCATATGGGGTTTTGCAGTGGCACAAACAGGACACCCCCGGACGTATGTCTCAATGTCCATCATCATCCGGGGCCACCAGAACTGACGTCTTGCCAGATGTAAGGTTTTAAGGAATCCGAAGTGTCCCACCTGTTTCGTATCGTGGCAACGTTGGAACACCCGAGACCGCAGTGCCTGTGGGATGTAGAGTTTACTGCTGTTCCAAGCCAACCCGTCCCGACTCGTCAGCAAACCGGGATTATCCCGCAACCACGGATCGTCCTGGAGTGCTGTCCTTAATTCGTGCTCCAGACTGTTTGCCACCGGAAGGGAGACCGCTCTTACTGCATCCTGGCAGTAGGGGGGCATGATCGCTTGTACCACTTCCTCCCGCCTGCTGTCGTATTGTGGCAGTTGTGATAAAGCGTCCGCCAGGAAGTTCCTCCCCCCTGGTACATGAGCTGGAACTGAAACTGACGGAAATACTGTGCCCACTGAACGTGTTTAGGGGACAACCGTCTTGGGGTCTGCAGTACCTCCAAGTTCTTGTCGTCAGTCCAGACCTCGAATGGCACCTTCGCCCCCTCCAGGAGATGCCGCCATGTTGATAACGCCCACCTCACTGCGAACGCCTCCTTCTCCCATATAGCCCATGCCCGTTCCGTCTCGGTCAACTTCCGGGAGGTGTAGGCACACGTCTGCAGTGCCCCGTGACGGTTCCGTTGGAGCAACACCGCCCCCACAGCCACGTCGCTAGCGTCCACTTGTACCACAAATGGCTTTTCCGGATCCAGGTGAAGCAGGACAGGCTCCCTCGCGAATAATGCCTTTAGAGACTGAAAGGCTTTCTGGCACTCTATTGACCACACCAAAGGCTGTCCAGGACGTGGTTTTGACGCGGCATGCCGGGTGCGCAGCAGGTCCATCAGGGGTAAAGCCACCATAGCAAAGGAAGGGATAAACTGTCTGTAAAAGTTAGCAAACCCTAGAAAACTCTGCAATTGGTGGCGTGTCTTTGGTGCCTGCCACTCCAACACACTCTTGACCTTATTGGGGTCCATTTCCACTCCCGCCGCCGAGATCTGATACCCCAAGTAGTCAAGGCGGGATTGATGAAACTCGCATTTCGACAGTTTCACATATAACCGGGCCTGCAATAGTTTTCTCAACACCTTGCTTACCAGCCTGACGTGGTCCTCCATGGTCTCCGTGTAGATGAGGATGTCATTGAGGTACACGAGTACCCCGCGGTATAGGTGGTAGTGCAGAACCTCATTAATGAGTTGCATGAATACCGCGGGGCCCCCCTGCAACCCAAAGGGCATCACCCGGAACTGGTAACTTCCCAGCGGGCAGTTAAACCCTGTCTTCCATTCGTCGCCCTTCTTGATCCTGACTCGGTAGTATGCTTCATGGAGGTCCAGTTTCGTAAAAATCCTACCCTGCGCTAGGTGGGCCAAGAGGTCCTTCATCAAAGGAAGGGGGTACATGTGCTTGACACAGACCCCGTTGATGCCACGGAAGTCCACACATAACCGGAGACCCCCATCCTTCTCCTTGAAGAGAACCAGCGCCGCTATCCGAGAGCGGGCCGGCTGGATAAACCCTCTTGCTAGGTTTTTGTCGATGTATCAACGCAGTTCTTCCAACTCCCGGGGTGTCATGGCATACATGCGGGGCTTAGGTAATTTAGCCCCCGGCAATATGTCGATAGCACAATCAGTCGACCGGTGGGGTGGTAGGCTATCACACTCTTGCTCACTAAACACTTCCCTAAGAGCGGCATACATGGCTGGAAAGCCGGGATCCTGCTCCGTGCTGTCCTGGACCACTTTCACCTTTCCCCTATCTCCCTCGGCAACCTTGGGATCCCTGACCCGAGGCATAGATGGCGACAACCACCCTCCCACCATATGGTTGGACCCCACTTATCTAGCCAAGCAAGCCCCAGGATCACCGCCTCGGTCATGGAGGGGACCACGATAAACCGGAGGACTTCCCAGTGTTTTCCCATATCCATCCTCACCGGTTCTGAGAGTGGCTGGAGCCCCGCCCAGGAGGGACCCGTCCACATGCTTGAAACGAATCGGGTTAGCCAATCAGGTGACCCTGATGCCCACCTTGGCCACTACATCCTTACTGATGAGACACCGGGTACACCCAGAATCGATCAAAGCCTGATACTCCCCGGTACGGCCTGTCTGCGGGCTCATCAGGGTAACTGGGATGGCAAAGGGGCATTTTTATTTATTTATTTATTTATTCAATTTTTATCCCGCCCTTCTCCTTACGGACTCAGGGCGGCTGACAGCCTTATAAAACAGATACAACAATAAATACCCCATTTAAAACCTAATTAAAAAGAAATATTTACTATGGCCTATATAATTAAAATTTCTCTTAAAACCCCACTAAAAATTCCCCTAGGCCAATCCCGCTTGTTGGAAGAGCCATGTTTTCAGGGCGCGGCGGAAGGAGGGGAGATCCGGGATCACCTGGATCTCTGGGGGTAGTTCGTTCCAGAGGGTGGGAGCTCCCACCGAGAAGGCCCTCCCCCTGGAGGTCGCCAGCCGGCACTGTCTAGCTGACGGCACCCTGAGGAGACCCACTCTGTGGGAGCGTACCGGCCGATGGGAGGTAATCTGCGGCAGAAGGCGGTCTCGGAGATATCCAGGTCCGATGCCATGGAGCGCTTT